ATGCTAACTTTTCCTTATTTTTTTTCATTGAAAAAAAAACAACTCTGTCTTCTAAAGAAAAGGGCTTGGCACAGCCCTAGAACAAGGTGTGGAGTGGCACATAAAGGGGCAGGGTAATGTTTCTAAAAAAGTGGGGTTTGGTTATGGAATTAGGGTAAAGCCAAAGGCACATACTGCAACACATGTGAGTACTGAACGTCCTTCTCTCCTCCACCCCCTGTGACTAAACGTTGGCAGGAGAGGTCAGGACCACGGCTGTGGGGAGGGTTTCAGGGATGCCAGTCTGCCAGATCAGCTGGGGATATTTTTCATGGGATGGTTGAGAATAAGGCAGTGCCTGCTGCTGTGTTCCTCTTCCCCAGCTGTGACAGAGGCCAGCGTGGGACAAGGTGAATTTTCTCTTTCTTCTCCAACTCAATGTGTTGAGCTACAACAGTGTTTTTCCTTTTTGAATTAAAGGTCTTTTGTTTTCTTTTTATGTGGGAGGGGATTATCAGAAGCAGGTCCTGGCTCTAGAGCTAGGTGCCTGAGCTTTCCTTCCATGCCCAAGGCAGTCATTTAGTTCCACTTGTGTGTTGGGGACCAGCCCCCAGAAACCCTCCTCTGTCACCTGCCTTATTGTGGTGGCGTCCCAATTGTGCCCCTCCAGATTAGTCAGCCTGCTGAGGTTCGCTGGCTCAGCTGATAGAGCATGCGACTCTTGATCTTAGGATCGTGAGTTTAAACCCCATGGTGGGTATAGAGCCTACTTTTAAAAAAAAAAAATCTGGGGCGCCTGGGTGGCGCAGTTGGTTAAGCGTCCGACTTCAGCCAGGTTGCGATCTCGCGGTCCGTGAGTTCGAGCCCCGCGTCAGGCTCTGGGCTGATGGCTCGGAGCCTGGAGCCTGTTTCCGATTCTGTGTCTCCCTCTCTCTCTGCCCCTCCCCCGTTCATGCTCTGTCTCTCTCTGTCCCAAAAAATAAATAAAAAACGTTGAAATAAAAAAATTAAAAAAAAAAATCATCAGCTTACTGATCTTTTTAAAATCTGGATCAAATCATGTCACTTCTCTGCTCAAAACTCTCTTAAGGCCCTGCATCTCATGAGATGTAGAAGCCAGCATCCTTGTGCCACAGGAATGGCCCTCCTCCTCTCCACACCCACCTCCCCCTTTTATTCTCCTTTGGCCACCCTCTGCCTGACAGCCCCTTCCCTCCGATTTCCCTCTTTAGGGCCTTCCTGAAATATCACCTCCTCAGCCATGCCTTTCCTAACCAGATATACTCTCTGTTTGATGCATTTTAGTAGTTTGTTGTCTGTCTTTCCCCACTAGAAGATCAGTGCCACGAGGGCAGACACTCCTGGGCAGTCTGCTCACTACTATATCCCTGACACTTAGAATGGTGACTGGCATGTAGAAGGTACTCAAGACATATTTTATGAGTGACTGAATGAGAAAGTAAGGTAATTAATCATTAATAAGTTGCCAGAGACGACCTATTACTTCAATGATAAAGTCGATAGTGTGTGTGTGTTTTAAAATTGAGCTACTATTATGTGCCCTGCCTCAGACTGGCTCTTCTCCCACTGGTTCAGCCAAGATTGCTTCTGACTTATCTGTTTCTACTTGTTGTTGTTTTTTTGTTTTGTTTTGTTTTTTTGTTTTGTTTGTTTGTTTTTTTTTTTTTTTTTTTTTTTTTTTTGGTATTCTTCTCTCCAAACCTTTCTCGTAGGAAACTGTCCCGAAGCTACTTCTGTGGGATTTTCTCTGACTAATCCCCCTGTGCTCTGCTCGGCACATATGAAGCTCATGAACTGAGCCCGTACTCTGTCCGCCTGCTATTAGGCTCATCCTTGTACGTGTGCAGTGGTTTTCTCCACCATGATTGTGGATGTAAGACCTGGAGCGTGGGGACCAGACTGTCTCTCCTTCCTGTCTCTCATAGCATTAAATAGGACTCCGGACTCAATAGCCTGGGTTCTGTTGCAGTTTGGCTGTGTCCACAAGTAAAGCTATGGGATCAGAACACCAAAAGCAATGGGGACCATGGTGATGTTCCCATGTTCTGGAGAGCTAGGGTGCTAGAGCCAGGGACCAGCAAATCTTTACCAAGTAGGTTCTGCAGTAAGGCACCGCTGTGAAAGGGCATGAGGCACAGAATGCAGTCCAAGACAAGTCCCCACTTTTGGCCTATTTGGGGGGAGACTGCTCATAAACATGAAATATCCCCAGCACATATTTCCTGAATTTACTAAGCAACATCAACACTGCAGCCACAGTGGTGAAAACAGTGCTGAATTTAGTACTACTAGAGAACCTGCTTTCTAACATCAGGATAGGATGAGATTGTAGACGTGGGAGCCACAGAGCAGGGTTCACATCCTGGACAGTCAGTAAATGGCATCCACAAAAGGCATGTTTTACATGATTGTTATAAGGATAAGTGCTCAGGAAGATGTGTACTGAATAACGCAATCGAGAGGGCACCGCCATTAGCATCCCAGCTTTGCCAGGAGCTGTCCAGACCCTGGACCGATCACATTGCTGCTTCTTGGGCCTCAGTTTCCTTATATATGAAATTAGAGGCTGGACGTGGATGACCCCTGAATGCTAATATCCTTTAACTCCCATCAGGATCCCAGAGGCTAGGGTTGTAGGCCACGCCTTGTGACCTTGAGCAAATCACTTCACTTTTCATGCCTGTTTCCTCATCTGCAAACTGGTCACAGGACTGGGCTGGTGTCCTCCAGGCTTATCTAGCTTGAGGAGTCCTGAGGAGCCTGCAGGGACACTGAAGGACAGCTTCAGACCTGGTTGCTGTAGTGGAAGGGAAAATCAGGAGCTGAGAATCTAGGATTGCACAGAACAGCACCAGAGAGCTGGGGAGGGGTGTGTTGGAGGTAGGGCCCAGGAGGACAGGAGGCTGGGACAAGTGAGTAGAGCAGTGCCTCTAGAACTTGGATAGGAGTCTTGTTCAAGTGCAGATCCTGAGCCACTGGATCTAGAGCTGTCCTGGAGATGCTGCATGTTGACCAAGCTCCTGGCCCATGCAGCAGGTCCATGGATCACACTCTGGGTAGCAATAAAGAATTTTCTTCCTTCCCCAGTTTAGCAGCTGGGCCTCTTGGAGAAGAATAGAAGCCAGTCTCCTTCCCCCTCATTCCTCCATGCCCCACCCCCAGGACCCAAAGCAAAGGATGTTTTTGCCATTGTTTTCCCCCCAGTCTTTCCCCTAGAATCCTCCAGAACGCTCACACACACTCACTCTTTGATGCCCTGGCCTCCCCCGCCTCATCAATACTTCCATCACTGGCCTTTTGCTGCAAAAGTGATTTCGGGGGAAAAGAATCTCACACCACGTTTTCCAGGCCCTTACTGTCTGGCAGTGACAGTCCCGGAGGAACGGGAAGTGAAAATGTCTACATTGTTGGAGAGCGGTGATGTCATGTCCAGCCTTTCCTACTTACACGGTGCCCATTCCTCCGTCGTCCTGGAGGCTGGGGCTTCTGCCGCTCCCACTCCCTCTAATGAGGGTCTCCCACACGGTGTCATTCCCATGTAACCTCTTCTCCACCCTGACATACACACATGTGCGTGCGCACATGCACGCACACACGCCCTCTACCCAGAGAACGTTGCCATCCTGCCTGCCTTAGGGAGGCCTCCTTTTTCACACTGTGGCCCACAGGGCAAATGCTGATATTTGTACAACGTGCGGGGATAAACAGCTGAGGCTGCCACCAGCACACCCCCAGCTCTGGCACCCCCAGGTGCCCCCCAGAGGCCTGAAGTCGTTCATACCTTGACACATCTGGAACCCATTCCCCATTCGCCCACCGGTGTCATACACAGCTTGCAAAGCATTGCTTGAACCAGAGCGCCCCCCCCCCCACCCCTGCTACCCCCTCTCTCCTCCCCTCCTTTTTAGGGAGGGAACGTGTAGTCCAGGATACTTTGTATTTTCAGAGGGAATCTTTGCTGTCCCCAGCCAGCGCCAACCACCCCCCTCCTGCCCCCACCATCCCCTGATCCCAGAGGAAATACTACCTGAACAGCCTTCTGTGCAGAAAGAATTCTAAGAAGACTTCACTTGACTGACGCGTATTAGTTTTGCTCTGAGCAGGTTACACACCTAGACGTTCAGTCTCCTTCCTCTGCCCTGAGAGCTTATGCAGGGCACTTTCTTCCCCAGACATCCTTCTGCTTCATGGAAATGGTCCTCCCTGGCTCTGATGGGAGAGGAGAGGGCCTGGTCTGGGAGAGTGAGTTATTATTCTTAGGTTCTAGAAAGAGGAAATGGGGGGCCCTTGGAGGTCAAGCGACTGGTAAGCTTTCCTTTCAGCCTAACAGCCGGAGATTTCTGCACCAAAGGAGAAATCCGAGTCCTCTATTACAGTTGCCTGGCAGAGAAATCTTACAGTGATATTTTGTTCACCCTGAGGACCAAGAGTCTACAAATCTCATGCCTGGTTTATCTCTCTTTATTCTTCTTTGGGCAGCTTTCCCACACACACCGCATGAAGCTGACTCACTGCTTCTCAGCTCAGACACCTTCCACGGCTCCCTGTTTCCTTTCACCGAGAGCCCAGTTTACATCCCATTATTCCCCTGATCTGCTTGTTCCTCTGTACTCTCAGCCCCGTCACAGAGCATGCAGTACCTCTCAGGTATCATTCACTCTAAGAGTTCAGCTCTCCTCCGTGGTCAACTGGAAACCCCCTAATGAAAGAAATAACATCACGTGTGTTGTACGCACCTCAGCGTCCAGTGTTTTCATCCTTAGGGGTTTGTATGTGTTAGAGACCATTTGGCATTTCGTAAATGGAAGACAGTCTCCATGGACAGTGCACCCCTCCATAGAATTTGCACGAGAGTTTAGAGGGTGTGCCGCCCCCTTGTTGCCTACTGGTGAACTCCAGATTAATAGTACCTGACGTAGCGAAGAGGACTGTTGGCCGACCAAATAATAGCTGCCCAGTACTTGTCTGCTGAGCCATAACTCTCCCTGTCTCTCAAACAGATTGCCCTGACATTCTCCATCGTCTTTGGGGTCATCGTGTATCGCATAACAACTGCAGCAGCCCTGTCTCTCAACAAGGCTACACGCTCCAATGTCCGGGTGACAGTGACAGCCACAGCAGTCATCATCAACCTCGTGGTCATCCTCATCCTGGACGAGATCTATGGTGCTGTGGCCACATGGCTCACCAAAATCGGTACTGTGTCACCAAATCCCATGTCTGCCCTAGGCCCCCTTGAACGAAGTCGGCTCAACACATGCGAGGTTTTTGGTGGTGGTGACTGAAAACGAAAAAAGGAACAGGAACAAAATGCTTTGTAGAGTGCATTTTGGTTGGAGAAATGAGGAAGTACTGAAGTTATGTACTTGCAGGGCCTGCCAGGGGCCTCCCCTCAGCGAGAAATACTCCTTAGGGCATTCTCTATCAGTAGTCTTCCAGCCCAAGTTGATTGCCTCATTGTCCCCAAAGAATCATTCATGGGACCTATTCTTTTTAGCCTAACCTAGAAGCAAGATGGGTTCAACACTTCCTGTTACAAATTACAGAGTTTTAGCCTTTCCTCATTTTCCCAGGAGTGTTTACAGAGTGGAGAAAGCTCTTGATACTTGAGCCCTGGAGGGTCTCATCTATCCCGATATTGCTGAGGCCCCAGAAAATCCACACATTCCCCACACACTGAGCAGACTTCAAAGAGGCATATCAGACTTCCCAAGCTTCAAGCCAGTGAGAAAAATGCGGTGGCCTCAGTATTCAGACGTGTCATTTGAGCCACAACCTGCTGTTGCCTGAGCACCATTTTTTGGCATTTGCGCTTATTAGACAGGGGAGAGCTGAGAACTGAGACCCTTTCCTCATGGTACTTATCCTGGGTGGCCTTGGGGCATGCACCTCTTTCCCTGGTGGAATCTGGGGACTAGGGCTGTCAGCTTCTGACTATCCTCAGAAAAATGGAACTAATGATTAGATGTCTTTAATTCAGTGACTAGTTAAAAGCTAGACACTTGATAGGATAACCCCCTTGTCAAGAGAGCCTTCCCTGGAGGATCAGAACATTCCAGAAAGGTTTCACTAATTCCAGTTAAAGGGATTCTTTCAGTGCCTTTCCCTGGCTTGGCCTCTACTCATGGTGGACATTGACTTTTGGTCTCCATGTGGATGTAGCCAAGGTACCATCTGGAATGGAGGTTCTGCTCTCTTTAGGCATGTGCACATTAATAAGTGTTACCCGTCCGTGTTCTTTCATAGGTTTCTGGAGAAAAGTCAGCAGAGAATGTTGCTTCAGGGTGTTTAGTGGTATGTGATATTCTATAGAAGCACTTAGGGGGAGCATCCTGGGGGGGCTTCTGAGGTATAAGGGCATCAAGTTGGATTGCTCAGGTGCAGAGGGAGGGGGAAGAGGGCAGGAGGAGAAGAGGTTCCTGGCAGAGGAAACAGAATAAGAAATCTGGCAGTGAAGGGAGAAATCAGACCCTTCAGGGTCAGAAAAGGCCCCGGGGGGGGGGGGGGCGTGCACAGGGGCTAGGCTTGTACAATGGGCACAACTTTGGTGCCAGGGGAGCTGAGGGGGCAGAGAGCTCAGCGTACGGAAGAAGGAAGCACGAAGCATGTCCAGGATGCTAGGGGAGTCCAGTGTGGTGGTTCTTCTAGGGTCTGCAGCATGTTCAGGGCATAGCGGAATGAGAAACTAGGCCCAGAGCATTGACCCAGACCTGATTTTTCTGTAGAAGACCTTGAATGCCAGGCCAAGGATGCTGCTAATTTTCATAGACATGGGAAAGTGTTTGCTGGAGTTTGAAGAATCATCTAATAAAAAGTACCTGTCTTTCAGCCCTAATCATTGAATATGCTAAAAAGTAAGATGTAGGCAAAAGCCAAGACTTCACTTTTAAAGCTAAAATAGGCTACATGGGAGGAAACAGCTTAGCAGGAGAGCCAGATAGACTTCCTAATACAGGATTACAGACAGACATCCCTCCCAGTGGCCAGCAACGGAGGGCAGGGAAGCCAGGCAAATCTTAGGATGTGGAGGGGCAGGGCATAGACCCTTTTCTCCCCAGAGGAAGGGCAGAGGGGGTGGACAGATGAGGCATGCTGGTGTCACCCTCCAGGCTGACTAATGAGATAAGCTTCTGTCCCTCAAGAGGGTAAAGGATGAGGTGGGGGAGACAAGTTAGGGCATTACAAATAAGCACACTCCTTCCACATCGGGGAAGCATCAGGAGTGGAAAGAAACGTCCCCCATCCCCCTCAGTGGCTCTGGCCCCACACCACTGGGGGACTTTCTGAAGAATGCAACATGATTGGAGCTGTATGTTTGCAGAACTATCCTGGCAGGGACATAGGATGCCACAGAGAAGAGAGAGGCAGGAAGGCCTAATGTAAAGGAGATTAATGAGTGTGTGGGCAGGAAGTAGGGAAGAGAGGAACAGGAAATCGGCGATGGTGCAGAAATGTCTTCCTGCTGTCCATTTGCATTACTTTGTTTCACTTGTGTTCCATGGCTCTAGAGAGTGGTAAGCTAGAAGATAGAGCGTGGTCCACAGTCAGAACCTCACTGACAAGGGTTTAGTGAGCACCTCCTGTCTACAACGCAGGGCAAATTCTCTTTGCATTGGGCCATAAAACACCATCCACACTGTGAAGCTACATCCACTGTTCCTAACAGCGCTTTCTCCCTCACCCATAAAGTTCAGGCTCCCCCATGCTGTGCAACCAGTGGCTGGTAAGGAAGTCTGTGCTCTGGAAAGGAGATGAAATCCTGGCAAGTACCTTTTGTTCTTTGTGATAGCGATACTCATAAAGCGACTTTCAACTTAAAAGAGTTCTGTTATCCCATTTCATCCTCACAGAAACTGTGTGTGGTCAGCAAGGAGAGTATTATATCCTCATTTTACTAAGGCTCAAACTCAGATTGTCCCTCTGAACTGCAAATACCTTTTGCGCTCTGTCGGTGTGAGTTTCTTACTGTCTGGACCAAAGTGGTATATTGGGTCTCCATGCAGGAACCCATGTGGGCCTCGTCCTAGGTTGCTGCTCTTGTCTGCCTTGGACTGGATGTTCTCAGAGGGTCAGACAGGTGTTTTTGTATAGTGGAAGGGCCACTGAATTCGGGAGCCCAGTGGAAGGAACCTTTGAGTTCTGGGCCTGACTCCTTCTCCCTCCCATCCCCAGATACGCGGCATTGGGCAAACAGGGAGCTTTTCTGGAACCAGTTTTATTGATCTTTCCTTCAATATTTCCCTCCTTCCTGTCCACTGATCATCACCTCTGTGGGGACTGTTTTCACAGCCTAAGGACTATGCCCTTGTCTTTAGCCTCTGTCTATGGGCCTCCTGCTTGGAAATCCCCACCCAGTCAGTCTTTTCAAACTTTCTCCTTGGGCTGGGGGAGGGGAGCACTACTCCATCCCCCCACAGACAACTTCCGTTTGCCCTTGGGTCAGATATAAACTAGCATTCGAGGCCCTTGTGTGTGGATTTCCCAGTCTTAGGGTAGACGAGACTCTGCCAGGGTGATAAATCTATCTTAAAATCTCAGGTGCATAATTCGGACTTGTTTACTTGTTCTTGCTCACGCTCCATGTCCAGTGCAGCAGGGCAGGGGCTCTGGACCCAGACTGATGGAGGCCACATGGACACCAGGGAGGCTGTGAAACACACCATCTCTCACTTCTGCTCACAGCACACTGGCTGGAAGCAGCCTAATTGTGAAGCAGTGGGAAGATACTCCATGGACAGCAAGGGTCTCTGCTGCTGGCTCCAGCCAGGCTACAAAGCCTTGGAGAACAGCTCCTCGGTCTTACGTTTCCTTTTATGTCCCCCATAGTGCCTGCCTCACAGGAGATCTGTGAGTTTGCTGATGCAGTTATCTCTGTCTTCGTTTATGCATTCAAAAAAATTTTTTCCGGGGAATGCCCATAGGCTAGGCATCCTGCAAGCCACAGTGGAAGCTACCACAGGCATGTATGCGTTTGTTATTTCCTACCTTCAAAAGGATTTGCAGAAACATTGAGATGAATAAGGTAAATGTGAAGTTGGCTTGATGGGACAGTCACTGAAAGATGCAACAAACCTATCAGAAGACTTAAAGTGCCCTTAATGGCAAAGAGTGTGCACACTAACCCACTCACCGAGGTGGTCGTGCACAGCAGGGGTGACCTGTGCACCTTCAGGCAGAGGTATGACTGCAGAGTCCCCCAGGCCTGCATGGAGACAAAAAGTTGTGAATAAGGCCACCTAATGGAATGAGGATTCTGCCAGGCTTAGGGGTTTCCTGTGCCATTCTCACGCTGGCTTTAATACCCGTCTGGCTTCTTGCCTCAGATCTCCTGATTGCTGAGGAGCCTATGACTACCGCCTTGCTCACCAGGTGCAAACAGCTGGTGTAAACAACCCCAGCGAGTTCCCAAGTGTTTCCTGCAAAGGCTGGGTGGTGAAGACCGATTTCTTGGGAGCATCTCCCAACAGGCCCAGACATCAGGCCCATCTGAGGTCCCTTCTGGCCACAAATATTTGTGACAGACTCCAGAATGTGTTAAGAGTTGGCTCAGCAGTGGTAGATAAAGACACAGTAATCACCTCCCTGGCTGCCATGGTAACAGTGGTCACAGGCTTGGGTGCAAGACACACCGTGAGCTGGTGGCTGTATGGCAATGGTGGGGCAGAGACTGAGCTGGGACCTAGGTGGTGGGATGGGGTTGCTAGGGGAAAATGAGTGAAGCTTGGGGCCTTGGTGGCCAGAGTCTGCTCTGCAAGGTGGGTAGCCCCCTTCAGCAAGCATCAGTAATTAGTTTGTGAGGATCCCAATGAATAGGTGGGACAGTACAGTCCCCAGTGATCTGTTCATTCCTGAAGGGGTCCCAGGTGATGGTTTATAGGAAAGGGTCTGGTTCCTGAGATGGGAAACAAGCAATAGCTGGGCAGGACATCAGGACCCCAGATGTCTAGGAAAATCAGACCGGGCTCAGATGTCATGGGAGGCCAGGGTATGAGGCAAGGTGACAAGGGTCACCAAGTAGACGAGCTCAAGGCATGCTTTGGTCCTAGCCTGTCCAGCTGCTATCACAGAATACCACATAGTGGGTGTCAACAGCAGAAATGTGTTTCTCATACTCTGGAGGCTGGAAGTCTGAGCTCAGGATGTCAACAGGGCTGGGGAAGGGTCCTCTCCCAGGTCCTATGGCTGTGCTTTCATAT